ATTGATGGTGAAAGGATCACGTATATTTTGCTAACAGTCTGTTTTGCCAGTTATCTATCAAAAACAAAACCAATAAACGGTACAAAACAAAATACTATATCGGCTTATTTTTTATGTCGAAACACTACACTGGGCGCCTGCAATATAGGGATAAAACGTATCCCATGCGCTAATCCAAAGCCAGTGGCCTCGATAGGCTATTATTCCATATTGGATGATATAACAAATATAACTAAAAATATATTTAATATCAGTAAAATTCGTTTCAAACAGCGATACTGAAACTATTCAGCGTAAAGGCATTGAAGGTCGTTTATTTATTTAATTATTGTAAATAGAATGGCGTCTGGCCACCAACTCGCCTGGCGGGTTTTAAGGGGGGGAAAATCATCGAATGACTTCTCCCACCTAGGTAAGGCGGGAGGGAGAGTCAGACTCTTACTGACTAAAAACCACCTCGTTCCTTCTCCTTCACTTCGAGCCGGAGCCCCGGTAACCCGTTAAGTTCAGCCCTGAAAACGCACTTACTCGGCGAGATGAGCAAATTTACCAATGAATTTAAAAGTAACAAAGCTTTTTCGAAAAGTACCGCTGATCTAAACGATCAGTCCGATCATTATGATCGTCGGGAGGAGCCGCTAGCAACAAAGAAGAAGCAGAAGCCAACTAACTGAGACAAGCGTCGAGCCGACGCCAACCGTATCCAAAAAGGATACACAGAGGGTATGGACTCAATACAAGCCGAATTATCTAAAACTTTACTTCCTAGTTTTGCGTCAGTAGCAAATACCTACTATTAATATCCTGTGTCTCCTAGATGGGGCAGAGGGCATCCACTGAACTATTTACGTACTTCTGCCAGTACGGTGCGACGCCAGGTTTGCCGAAGACGGACGCGCTTTCTTTTCCCTTGGGGATTCCAATCCAAGGCTTGCTTGAGTGTGGTCAGGATTCCTTCGGAGCGTGTGCCCTATCCATCCCCACTTGCGGTGCTTGATATACATAAGACTATATTTTATTTATCTGCCTCGTTGGCCGAGTGGTCGCAAGTGCGACTGCGGGCAAGGGGTCTCGGGTTCGATTCCCAGATCGGGCAAAGTATTACTGGGTATTCAAAAAATTCTCATTAGTAGCACGGAGCGGAGTCTTGAATTGTGCCCGGTATATGGCAATAGGCTCACCCCTATTACATGGGACTCATAATATAAATAGGGAAAAGTGGGTGTTACATTGTACAGTGGCATAACGTTATGAAGCAAATGCTGTGCCTGTACCAGGCACAGGTACGGTCTTGTATGGAGTACTGCTCATCTTTGGGACGGCTCGGAGAAATATCAGCTGGCCGCGTTAGAGCACATCGAGAGGCGTGTCAAGAGGCTCATCAAAATTGATGCACTTGTGGAGGCCCTGATTCAAAGTATAGAAATGCATGCATAGGAATAAGGCACAACTTGATTCCCTCTAGTCCTTTCCATCATCGTACCACAAGACAATCGGCGAAGCGTCACCGATTCATGGTAGATGTCCCACCTACACAAAGCGCTTCGCTTCAAGCTTCCTTGTGCGTACTGCTAAGGAGTGGAATTCTTTGCCAGAGTCTGTATTTCTTGAAGGGTTGGTATAACTTGGGTGTCTTCAAGGCCCGAGTGAATAGGTTACTTATAGGTTGACGTGCCACCGTCCATCACCACCATCGTAGGCCACATCATCGCTTACCACCAGGCGAGATAGTAGTCGAACTTCAGTTGTTCGGAGCGGTAACGGGATCATAGTGCTATAAACATTTTATATTAATATAATTCATAATTAATACGAGTTGTCCCAGCACTCGATAGATGGCGTTGTGAATGAGTTAGATGGCGCTATGGTTTCGTTACCGGGATTTATATAGGGTACGGACAAATATTTTGTATGGTGTAAGCAGCAAGCATAGTACTTGATATATTATACGCGATTAATATTTCAGTACAGTACAGTGTAATATTTCATCCACCCTCTCCAAGTCGACCTTCGTTCATCAGTCTCATCTAATATAGAAAAAAAAACCTCTGCCTGCCCCTTCGAGGATAAAAGGTGTGATGTTATGTTATATTTTATTTATATAGGTATTTACAAAATAAACTGTAATTCCTGTTCTTTAATATGTTTCTGAAAGATTGGACCTCTAATAATACACTTGAAAACTTCAACTGTTGTAGTGCTTCATGCGTACTCAACTTAAATATTTAAACATTAATACTTACTGCTACTGTCGCAGTTTGTTATGACTTGACTGAAAGAAACAGAAAATCCAGTTAAACTATAGGATGTTCATTATTCACTATTGAAATAGCCTAAATCCACTGTTGAATCTTTCTCAAGCTTCCAAGATAAGCTTGAGTCGTTACGGAGTAAGACATTTAAAGATAAAGAAAAAGTTTTAGATTCGAATTCGGCAGATGTTGCAAAAAGACATTTCGAAAGTTAGTGCAGTTCACGATGAACGTGAATGCCCCAAGTCCACCCGCTTGACTCCAAACAAGGAAAGAGTTTACATAGCTTCGAATAAAAATAAAACTTTTCTTAAAAGAACAGATTCAAGAAAATGATTGTAGAGATATTTGTCCATCATGATTAGTATTAACGAGAATATCTGTTAAAATAATCTTATGATTTTAGTATTAAAATGTGAATACAAAGGATTAGAATTTGAATGTCATTTCTTCAATGACATGCAACGCGATGAGATACTCTAAAATATTTATGCTTGTATACTGAGAGCTATTTTTTATGCAAATAATGAAAAAAAAATCATACGAAGATTGTTTGTTAGATATGACTTAGGTGTTAATATGACCTTAGAAACTAAATACACTCATAAATTATTTGAAAAGATGATGATCTTTTGTCTCCTATCACTACACATACCGCATAACAGATTACACCATTACAGACTTACATAAACGGTAAAATTTCGAGTTGTTAAATAGGAAAGTAGGCTTATGACGCGATATGAAATTGCAATGAGGCGACACTCTTGCCGAGGGTGAGCGAGTCTCAACAAATCCTACGATAACGCCTTCATTACCCACACGTCAACCCTCTTCTCCGTGCGTCTTCGTCACCGCTTCAATCTTTTCGCGGATATTACTCTTAAATTATGACAAAAGCTTCAGTTTGGGAGCTGCATAATGAATCCCTACTAGTGATGAATGGATCACACCATTCATCATCATTTTCCATTGACATTTTGATTAAAATAATCGTGTAGATGACGAACACTTTACTGTGTTTGTTTTATTTATTCAAATTCTTGATGTTATTGTCATTTAACTATTTATATAAAGACACTAGCGTCTTTAGATAGAGATATTTTCGTTCCAATTTCCAAAATAAATTGTAATATAATAATATCCTATACGTACGATGTTCAAACTTATTATTAGCTATTCAACAAAATTGTTTCATGCTAATTCGTCTATTAGTTGCGGATATAATGATGCGGATGTGCAAACATTTTTTTTTCTTGCTTTGTACTCAATTTTTGTTAGAGGTATTTTCATATCACCTTATTATTAATTCTTTTCAAATACATGTAACATGCAGAAACAATTTTATAACATGTATAGATTATAGTTAAAATGAGTTGAGGGATAATCCATCGTATTTGATCTACGGAATATTTAGTTTATCCTCTATTTCCCACTAAAACATAATGCCACCGATAGTTTACTTATAGCGCGACACTATAAGCACGTCACTGTTTTTGTTTCATCTCACATAGAATGGAAACTAAACTTTGAGCGCTTACAATATGTTCACTTTAATTTAAATATATTATGTTTATTTTGAAATTGTATTACGAACCCTATCCGCTTCACATCGCATTCCTGTAGTGCGGATTAGCCAATACCTTGTTGTAGTAATTAAAATATATATTATTAGAAAACAGATGGAAACTCATGTTATAAGAAGAAAAATTAAACGGCAAACTTTAAAAAAAATGTAATTAGAATGACTAGATAATTGTGACAAAGTTATTTAACCTCAAATTAACAAAGTATGTTACATGCATATTAACATTACAAGAAACGTGTAGAAAAGAAAACGGTAATTAAAATTTTATTACCTTAATTCATTTATCGAAAAGCAATATAAATAGTTGTCCCTGTTTTTCATAATCGTTAATATACGATATTTTGTAGAATCCACAATGGGCTAATTTATGCAACCATCATTTCTTAACTGCTCAGTTTTCACTATTGCTGCCATGAAGATGAAAAGGTTTGTTTACTACCAAATGATTTACTTAAAAGTACAAATACCTGTAGATTATAAAAACATTTATTTCTCGTAGTTCAGCAAATGATCGTTTAGCCAGTGCACCGACCGCGGCGTAAAATTAAATAATCTTTCGAAGCCTTTTACCTGCAGAATCTAGGCGGTGTTTACATAAATCTATAAACTCATAAATCAAGTAACGATGTTTCCGAACGTAGCAATAAACTTGATATAAAAGACAAATAAAATCTAAGGATATGATTATACTTGAAACTTGCACAGAAGTTGTAAATAAAACTTATTACAATTTTCACAACAATACGCTTTTTATCATGTACCTCTACTAAAAGTCGTTGTATGTGTTATAGAATATTTAGATCAAATATATATTGAAAATCCCGTTGTAATAAATTTCCATGAACACTTTCATTGAATGGGAGTAACATTATGTGCAAAAATGTGTTCTAAACCAAATAAGTGTTTATAGGTGATTACCTATATTTCTACCCATAAAAAAGCCCTACATATGAAATAAAGATTAAAAACCTTTTATTTTAAGAGTCTGCTGATTAATTGAAATAAAAAACATATTGTTCCAATTAATTCTTTGGAAAAATATGTTTTTTATGGTTCTGTTACTTTTAACTAAGTATGACATGACATACATTGGGCCACCGCTCTAACTTAAGAAAACTGACAAAAATGTTTTCATTACTACAATTTCTTTAACCTATTTGTAGGATTACTGCGTCTGCAGCAGCTGTACCAGAGCCTGCAACCTGGCAAGGCATCGTTCCGCATAACAAACGTGAAACGAGTGTCCAATGCATCCGATGTTGTGGAGTTTCTTCGTGCTATCGAAAAACTGGACCGCTGGAGCAACAAATATGTTGTACTTGATTCTACCACTCAGCTTGCAAAAGCCGCACTAATTATGCACGTACGGGATGTGCACCTTGGCCGTAGGAACTATCATTACTTCCTAAGCGGACTGGTGAGTAATTCCCTAGTTCATTGTTGGAAAGCTAATCGTGAAATTTTAAGATCCCGACTTTGCATGTTTATGTAACAATAAGCGAAGTTGCTAAGTAACAGAGATTACTTTCAGCTAAATCAGACAGACTTCTCCATTTATGAGAAGACAAATACGAATAATATACTATTTTCGTACGAAGTTGTTTTAGTTGTTTACCACGTGTAGTTCTTTTTTTTAATCCTTTTCTCCTTTATCGTGGGAGTGTTAACAAACATACACAGTCGCATATAGTTCCTGGCCATAATATTAGACGCACCCTCATTTTGTTGAATAATTAGTTAGATACGTTCATTTTCAATACTTTTTAATCGATTCGATTATATTTTATGAATTATATTTATTACTCAATATGAAAGAACAATGTCAATTTATTCTTATGGACTTATTATTCTAAAACTGAAGAGTTTAGGTACTCAAACGTGCTAATCTCCGGAACTTCTGAATTGAATTGAAAAAATTATTAGTGTTGGATAGTTTATTCGTCGACCATTTATTAAATCCATAACACATTACGCTACTACAACAGAAGCCGAGCAGAGGTCGCGCGGGTGTAGCTAGTCTTTTTTTTATGAACGTTAATCTGTTTTAATCGCTTTCAGCTTCGCTCGGCGCCTATTGGACGCATCGTGACGTTGTATCATACAACCATCCACAATGAATAGACTATCCAAACAAAAACAATTTGACAATTCCAGTAGTTGCGAAGATTAAAACAAACAAAGCTTTCAATTTTAATTCCATAATTGAAAATTAATACAAATAAAATAAAATATACAGCAAACCTCAGTAAAATACATAACAGTTATATATTTCAATGTAAAAGAAATTCATTTAAATAAGTGTTATCTTGAGTGCGTCTAAACATGTAGCCAGGGATTGTACACGTCATACCCAAACTTGAAATAACAATTTGTGGGTCATTATATTTTCCTCAAATAGGTATAGATTACTAAACATAAGCACTATTTTAATCAATGTAACATACGTGCGAATACTGAAAGGCTGAATTTTAAAGTGGTACTTAAATATCGTGGCATCTCTACGATTTTATAAAGAATATATAGTGACAGAACTATACTTAACCGTGTCTTAAAATTGAGTGCCGTTCGAGTATTTGGAGAATGAAAACTAGTTTTCATATTATGTATATGAAAATCAACATATAGTAATTTAATATAATGGTACAGGTTATGGACGACCGATGGGAGAAAGAAGTTACTGAATATGGTGCTATCAACATCACTGGATTTCGTTTACTGGATTTTTCCCGAAAAGTAGTGCGTGACTTTATTGACGCCTGGAAAAGGGAGACAATTTCCGTAAGTTTTTTTTATCTGTATATTAAATAATTCATCTTGTACCTATCATAATACACGCATAACTTCAACCATTCATCACATTCCAATAAACTTAATTGGTCAACGTAACAAATAACAAATTGGCAAACATTGGCACATTCAAATGAATGTTGTGTATAGATTAATAAAAGAAAGTCGTATTAGTTACACCACTTATAACTCAAGAACGGCAGAATAGATTTGGCTGAAAATTGGTAGGGAGGTAGCTTAGAGCCAGGAGACCGACATAGGATACTTTTTAACCAACATTTTTTTTACTTTTTACCGAAAATCACGAACGGGGACGGGAAAAAATGGGATTACGCGTACGAAGTCGCGGGCAGAAGCTAGTTTTTGAATAAATTGCTGTCGAAACATTATAATTTTGAAAAAATGGGAATGCGATACAGAGGCATTGATTTTGGTACATTCATAAAAACATCATATATGAGCGATTACAGAAAACAATATAGCTTTAAAGTACACGATGGAAATGTTCGCAATAGAGCAATTTTTCCTATTCAGTTACGCCTTTGGAAATCACATCATCCTACAGGAAGCTTGTTTGTTAGTGCAGGTGTTGCACTAATAAACGAGCTTGACTCAATTTTTACTTCTAGTTAGTCGAGTTTACCTCGCCTCGTTAATTGAGTCTGAATTGTGATAGCCGTGCACATGTTCTTATTGTCGAACTTGTGACTTTATTGACTGGTTTCGTTACCCTAATCAAGCTTCTTCTATCTTCAATCTTTTAATTAGTTGCATTTAGAATTACATTATCATAATTATTTTTGTTGACATCTGCTATCAGATTTGGACCTTCGCCCAATAAGGGAATCGTAACATAACTGGCCAAACTTTTGTGATCTTTTTTACCCAGGCTTTGTAGAATGAAAGGCATATTATGAAAAGGTAGTTTAGATTTAAAATATTTCTTGTTCAATAGCGATTTTGACTAAATTATGCCAGATTAAACAATATTCGATGTATTTTATTTTTGTTGCAGCTGGTAAGGTGTGTTGCTACCGACAGCAGAATATTAAAAAGAAATCTAAATGCATGTTTTGTTGCAGGCGCAGGCTGCTCTTACTTACGACGCAGTGCAGGTGTTAATTGACGCTATCCTTCGCCTGGTACGAAAAAAGCCCGAGTTCGTACGTGCAACCATGCGACGTGCGAGCCAAAATAATACAAACAAATCTATGGACTGTAACCCGAAAAACAAATTCATTCCGTTTGAACACGGCGAGAAGATATCTCGTATGATCAGAAAGGTGGGTACTGTGTCTATCTTGTGGGATAAATCGTAGTACAATACTGCCAATCAATGTAGTAAACAATTCATTGCGCTCTGTATTTCACATAAAACCAGAGCTCATACAACAGCGTATGGCATCGCTGCATATAACTGTGAAAATAATACGTATAATATTGTTATGCAAGCGTAATAAACCTCTATTCTCTGGAGTAATTTTACATTCCCTGTTGCTCATGCGAATGGTTGGTATCAATTCATATATTCAATTATGATTCCGTGCGAATGTTTCGATATTCATGCGTTTTGCATTTTCGTGGTGTGAGTACGTAGCGTCATTATGATTTATGAATACAAAAATGTGTAAAATAGCATTTACATAAATATACATAGATGATTGCTTATCAAATACCGGTATAATATAATATGGCAACTAACTATGTGATTTTATGTAGTCGTAATTAAAATGTAGCTAGATTTTGTAGGTTCAATTAAAGCTAAGTTAAACCATGATCTGATAAAACGTAATGCCAGTTTGAATTTTCTAAGAAAGTGTAAATGCAATGCGTTTAGTACAAATAAACTTCTTCAAAACACTAACATAACTAATAATCTGCAATCGCTAATCAGTACTTACATCAACATTGAGTACTTATTTCTAATACGAATAAGGACAAGCGATAGAACAATAAAAACGCAAGTAAAATGACATATGGTTATAAGATAGATAAGTATACTTTTCCTTTGAACGAACATAAATTGTAAAAGGAAGTCTCAAGTTGCGGCGGTTGCCGTCGTACATTGCTCTAAGCTGGGAGTGTAGCTTTATTTCTTCAGTCAAACGTGGCGCTGGTAGCGCGCGTTGGTAGGTGGCGTGCGGTGCACACTTACCCTACGTCAAAATACATGACTGCTTCTGACATATTACCTTTAATGTTTTATAACACAAATCTTATGGATATGGTCCCCATTGTCTAATGACCACGATATGTTGGAACCAAATTTTAATTGAGCTGAATTACAAAGAACACAGGTGTTGAATACGGTCCGTGTTTTATATCAGAATGCTCAGTGGGTGGGTGAAGGTTCACAGACTGACGATTAATTAGGTTTCGTTGGGTGACGCGTAATTAACCCTCGCATTCGCTAACTGCCTCGATTCGCCTCACCCGGGATATACGAACCCCTTTGCACTTTTGGACTTCCTTTTCCGGAAAAGTTGTACTTCATCACCAGTACCTAATCATAAAATATTACGGGAGCTTGTTTTAAAAATGACGATATTAAAGTGAAGCAAAAGAGTATCCATATCTTGTTTTAGACGGAGATTGTTGGAATAACGGGCAACATACGATTCAATGACATAGGACACCGCAAGAACTTCACGCTTCAAGTTATGGAACTCACGGAAGACGGTGACATGACAAAGGTAAGATATTATTCAGTTTTGTGAAACCTACAATGCCTGTGTACTATCATAAAAAATATAACTATAGATATTAATGGTGGTACAAAACTTTCGTTACGATAAAAAGTGTTTTCGAAAGTTTTCTCGCAGAGATATTGCTTATTTAACGAGATTGTTTCCGAAAGTCATAAATAAGTCCTCGATCTCACCCCACCAAAGTATAAATATGAATTTTTATGACCTAAAAATATAGAAGAGTATTTGAAGTGAGGTATATAAGTTAGGTATTTGCAAACAACAAATAACTGTATTGATTTTCATTCAATTTTAATTTTTAGCTATGTAATATACTTCCTTCTAAGAAAGATATAATTTAAATGTTATTATAATTTTAAAGTATCATCAACTTTTCTTATTATAGCTTTACTTTATACAAACCAAAAAGATATTGAATTTTACACTTTTCGTCATTGCTAACTATCCTAAACAAACAGGTGGCAACTTGGTCGGATAATAAAGGGTTCGTGCCTGTCATCCCTAAGAAGTTGGCCCGTACCATAACTGGAACCTATGATCGAAATAAAACTTATATTGTGACCACTATCGAGGAACCACCCTACATCATACGCAATGACCCTGATAACCCTGAGTATGACCCCGAAGAACCATTTACTGGATTTTGCGCAGAGCTCACAAAAATGTTGTCTGAAAAAATGGAAATCAACTGTAAGTAGGACGTCCAATCGTCTTAATACTTAGCGTTGGATCACAATCTAGCCCGCAATATTGAGATTAAGAGTCTTTTTGCGACTCATTAAGACGTAATTTAATTTAAACTTGAAAGCTCTAAGATTTTTTAATTCTTTTGTGGATTTCGCTAAGTCTGCTGACCTTTGTTCGTGTATTTGCGTAAGTACAGTCGCGAACTAAATCCGGGACTAAAATAATTGTATTTTTGAAAACTATTAATGGATTACAGATTCTATATCCAATAGTTTCTACGCGATTTACACCGACATTTTGCACGTTTAGACGCAGGTTATTTGAAGTACCAACTTTGGAAGTTTATTTTGCAAAAACCTTTAGGCACTGTCTATATACAGATTGATTTATTGTCGTGTCTGTTTATCATCTTTCAGGCCTAGGCAGCATAATAAAGTATAATTTGTTTTGGAAACACAGACAAAGTTGCGAGCAGAAGCTATCCGAATAAAAGTCTGGGACAATATAATCTAAATATGTTGACACCATTATAATGTGCCACAAATACCATTCGATACTGTAATTTTCCTTTTACGAGGTTGACATGACGATAAAATTTACTCAACGTTCAGATACAAAAATTACACAACAATTTTAGAGTATTTACTGAACTGCGATCAAAATTGAAACATTTTTCGGTTTCAGTATTGAATGTTTATATTTTAGGTGTAAGCTAGTCCGAACTCCAAATTGAGGATTTATTTAGTGATAGTGATATCTCCAGTGAAATAAATCAGTTTTTTTTTAGATCGTATTAAGGTGGTGAGGGATGGAAAGTATGGCAGCGAAAATCCAAAGGCACCTAACGGCTGGGACGGAATGGTGGGCGAGCTTTTGAGAAAGGTACAGTTCCTATAAACTAAGCGACTATTATCACAAATGATTCTAGAGGTATAACTGATACGTCATGATCATTGTTACTAATGTGATTTGCAATAACACAATGATAATAAATTAAAAACACAATTTAATGCGTCTGATTGGATGTTATTAAAGTTGTCAAAAGTTTTATTCAAAGAGGTATTAATGTACGGTATTAAAGTGTCGTAATTTTAATTTTCAACGTAAATTTTAATTCGTTGTGCGAAAAAATGTGTCAATGCTTATTTAATGTTTAAAACGCTTCGTTTTTCCGTTGCCACAATCCATGTTGCGACAGTACACGCTTTAACATTTTGTATAATTCCACGTATTGGACCTGTAGGATTATCTTGCTTAAAATTACTATTATTGGACGAAACAATGGTTTTAAAACTTAACATTCAGAACCGTAATTTCACACAACAAAATTACTCTAAAAGTAAACTCTTTTTAGAGTAATTTTATTGTGTTTTTATAGAGTCTTGATAAAAGAAACTCAAAATATAATTGAATACTACATCCAATTATATCATTACAATATGTTCAAATGATAACATTATTCGTAAACCATTCGAATGTTAAATTTCTCGCTTCCAATATCTTATGTTTATTCCAACTGAATAGAAAATATCTGAACCGAATAACTAAATTGGAAAAATATCTCAAGTTTCGTACTTATTAGTGCTTATACGGACATACAATTGGTTCTTTGCATATCAAAGCCGGCTTTATTATCGACATGACTGGGGTATAAGGTGATTCACGTGCACAGGATAAAATCGAGTCTAATATTTCTTAAGAACGAATACAGACAACGTTATAAAATTTATTTCAATTGTATATAACAAAAAACAGCTAAAGAATATCAAAGAAATATTTTAAAATAGTGTTTTTCTATCGGTCACTCTTTTAATATGGCTATTTGCTTAAAATAAAGTTGAGATTCTTATGGAGAAGAAGAACGAGCAAAAAAGTCCATGAATACACATATTCATAAAATTTTACAATTTATATTTACACAGGTTACATTATTAAACAGGTCGAATCATGTTTCATCATTCCGCTAATGCGCGATGTAGGTGAGCCCCAAACTAATACGTCGTATTAATACTAATAAAGTAAGAAATCGGTTACCTATGTAGTTGTATATTTTTTTAAGGCCTAATATAATTAGCCATTGATAAAAGTATTGACGCTTTGCTTTTAAAAATACCGTGGGGGAAACCTGGACTTATAATTATCGTGATGATTAATGCTGAATGCTCAAGCCTTTGATCAGCCGTGGTCACTTTTAGGTTGTAGTTATAATATGGTCATGTACAAGTATGTACATATGATATCAGTATTGTTCCCGATAAGTACTCGATATTACTAGTGGAATTTATGTATATTGCATCCAGTGTTGTGGTACATAGTTCTTACTGTTTTGAACATTTAATAGTTTGTTAAGCTTCTGATTAAGGTAAACGGCCCAGTAACCGTGAAGTTATGAACTTCCCTGACTTTGCATGCGCGCTAGGCTGAAACAAGTAGACTTATGAAAATAAATTTTATACGACTAGTTAGATAATTTAGTATACTTTTAGTATATTATAATTCTATTAAACTTATGGAAATGTTAATTAACAATAAAACAAAAAAAATACAAAAAGGGCCAACTGTACCAGTATCCGGTAGAGTTGTACTAGTTAACGTTTAATTGTCCCGGAATCCGGCAATTTTAACCGCAAATTTGAACTCTATTGCTTTACGTTAAAGTTCACAGAAATAAAATATTTTTAAATAAATAGAGTAAGTAGTGAAACTAATTAGGGTATGTATTTAACAAAAAAAAGCACAATTTGTTTTAATTTTTTTTAATTAAATAATTACACAAATTATGGGTTAACTAGTAATTAATTTTAGTTGCATCTTCAGTAATCTTTGGTAAAAAAACATCACTAACTTAAATTTTTACATTTTAAAATAGAATTAATGGCTTCCTCGAGGTGTGCCATAATAAAATAGTCCTCCACTTCTTTATAGCACGCTCTTACACTGCTTTCTTGAACTAAACCACGGGTTTGCGTTACATTTTGGGCCACTCGCTGGCCTACTCCAGGGTGCTCGCTTTATAAAGGCTTCAAACCAGTGACGATCTGGTCTGCCATTTTTAAAAGGGTTTTCTCGCTTCAATTTTTTAATCAGTAAACTTATGCTAGCTAACAACTGCGCCTTAGTTACAGGAAATCCACTACCTGCCATAAAAATTATCCATCTACTTAAATAATCTTCTTCTTTTGATAAAACTGTAGCAGGTCCTTTGGAACATTCAATAGAATAGTGGCCGCGTATTTTGTCGTCCAACGTTGACCGTGGAATATTATACTGCCTGGCTGCAGCTGAAATTGAGGCTCCTTTTCTAATTGCGTCCGTGGCCTTTTGTTTTTCAGTCATGGCTACCTGAAAGAAAATTAAAACGATATTTGCTCATTTCTGATTTCGAATCAATAGGTATAAAATAGTAAAAATACAAACTTTTACTTAAAATCACAGGCACCGAGCTTTTTTTCGCTTTTCTCAATTTTAGCTGATGCCAACCAGTAGCCATTTTCTGTAACTAAAGCGCAGATGTTGCATAGTGTTAAAATAAAGCAAGAAAACCCTGACAGACCAGGTTGTCACTGGTTTGAAGTAATCATACAGCAGCATACAGAAGCAAGCCGACAATTGGCCCAAAATTAAACACAAAACAATGCGTTAGATCAGGAAATCAGGATCAGGAATTTACGGACACCAGAAGTCCAACTTGGAAAGGTATAGATCCCTCGAAAAATTATTAAAGGTTTAGAGGCAGATAAATAAGCAAATTAATTTACCTTTAGTCAGTTTCAATTATGTCTCTACGACTTTGAGACAATTTTTAGTTCCTATCAACGATTTTTTGTCACCTGGATAACTTCACAGGTCTGACATCTTGCACCCAAATCTAACGACACGTGAGTTTAGTGACTTATGAATGAAAGTGAAAGTCATGTAAGAAATATAGGAAAGTACTGGCGTATGAAAATGTCGACAGGTGGAGTTTCAAATAATGAGACATATTTATCTAACAAATTTTGTCAACGATGACAAAACTTGTACTGAAAATTACACACAAGTTACCATTTGTCAAGACTCGAACTGCAAAGCATAATTAATTTATTACAATATTCAAGTAAATGAAGTAACTAGAGCTTTTTTGCCCTTGCTACATTTTTAACTACTGTCAAGGAGTACTATAAAACGGTGAACTTTGCATGACAAAATACAGGGCCACTGTTCTGTTGAACTCCAAAACCATGTTTTAATAATTGAATTACCATTGACTGCCGAAACATTTTTTTTTTAAATATTGCCTAGTTGTTAATATTCCTATTAATATTCTGAAACTGCACCCCATAAATAAAAAAAACTGGTTTTAGAGTAACGCAAACTATACGAAAATTAGGAAATCATTTAGAAGAACGCAAAAGCAACCAAATGCACGTGGTAACAAAACAAATAAGATGCCTAAATTCTATCGAGTTAACGGAAAACAATACTTATCTCAAGGCATTAAGGACCATGACGGATTTAAATGCAACTGTTAATGCATGTACTAGTATCCGATAGAAAATATTTAATATAAACTAAAATTTCAAAGGAATATGAGACCTATTTCAAAGCAATAAGGATACAATACCGGGTTTCGGTGCAACGTATGTTACCGGGTTGATAGTGTACCAGTAACCGGTAAAAAATATACGAATTTACCGGGCACTGGGTCAAGTAGGGGTTTGTGAGTACCAATAAATGTAACATGCAAAAACATTTACATTTCAATAAGATTTACCTTAATTTATAGGTTAAATCGTTAAATAATACACAAAACTTTTCATAAACATTAACACTCTTACCTTAATTTTATCCGTCGAAGTATGGCTAGATGATTTCTGCAACGGGGTGGTCTCGTAGTTCACTGGCAGAACTTTGAACTTACAGACCATTTTGTTATAACGTATTTTTAAGTTTGCATAGTTTTGGCGCCATTAAACTTTTTGGTGAACGTTGCCATTAAAATTGTATAAAATAGTACCAAGAATAAATTGCCGTTTACAAACTCTAATTTGATTTTGGTTGAAAGACGTAAAAAATTAAAAACTGACTAGTTAACGGGAACTAGGACACTAACGGGAATACGTACTTCTACCTTACCGAGGTGATCCAATAGGTAAATAACTTAACTTACAACTCAACAACAACACCTTTACCTAGGTTTGTATTTAGTACTAACTATACTTCCTATTCTTGTTGTCAAAGTCTTAATTTTGTAAATAGCTGGAGATCCACCGCCGATATTGACGTTAGTTAGATGTCAAAATAGAATTGAGTCCGGTGGGGTTTACTTTGATTTAAACCCGGACTTAAAGTTACCTGTAGCCGGTCGAAATAATTGAACCAACTTTTATTTTACAAACATAAGGCAAGTTTTTACGATGAGGCTTCAGACAGTCAAAGTAGTTTCGGTCTAAGTTTCGGAAGAAAATAAAGTTTCATTTTTGTTGTGCGTTTCTTAAATAAACTTCTTAGGTCGTGAACCCGAAAATGTGGTTCAAAATCTTAGCTATTTATTGAGCATAATTCTGGTTAAGGTACTGGAACATGTAGAACACCTATATAGACTAGACATGTTTTCGCTGAATCGTGTTAATAGTTTCATCGAAATGGAAGCTAAGCCCACTGATAAATTCTCCATATAATATTTCTATTATTATTACTTTCGTTGACATCCTAAATTCATTATTATATTTTGCGGCTTACTGACATCGCGCAGCCGCGTATGTCGCGAAATGCTGCTTATGAATATGAGCATGTAGCATGGCTTGAAACTAGTCGAGTTCCTCGTCAAATAATTATTCGTATAATGGCTTTTATACAGACATAACCTATAAGTATTTTGCTGAAGTCACAAATCAAAGATTCTTAGTCGACCACCCAACACGAAATCCTGACAATTCCCTCCCTTTTTAGATAGTTTAATATTTCAGAAGTCAGGTGAATAGGCTCAGGAATATGGGTTATATTAATGCTAGCTACAGGTATGCGGGTATGATTTTGGATTTTCAAAATTTTTAGTACAAATCATTCTAGGTATTCTAGTACAACAGTGCTAAACTGCTCTGAAAATGATGGGTTCGTCTGGAAAGTCATCTAGCAAGTCACCCTGTGGCAAACGCCCCTAAAAATTTTTAGAAGGCCAATACTATATTTATTTTCAGATTTAAATTTAGCCTTGGATTTAGAAGTGACTTCGCAAAATTAAATTAGAGAATAAATTGGCACGAGTAAAAATTAACAGTCAAAACGTTAAATACATATTTTTGTTTACCACTGATATTCACCGGTCATAATAATACTAACAAGTGTTTTAGAAGTTTCGAATCGCTTACAAAATGCATAACGATGAGTTTAATTTTCTATGAGTCACTGTTATAATCCGTGGGGAGCATGGACCGAGAATAGGTTGGCGTCGTTATCTAGTAGCCAGTGAGCAATAAATATCTTTGTAAAATCCCGATGTCCCTGCAGCGTTATTCCAAAGCCTGTTATTGCCAATCCTCGGTACACCGTGAACTCCAATTTGTGAAATCAAATTAAATCGTTCGTATCTAAAATATGGTTCATTAAGGGTGAGAAGAAAATATTTTACATGGATGCGTGGATTTTTGCGCATTTTAATTATTTTACATTAACAAAAATAATACTTACTTTATTACATAATTTAGAATAGACTTTTGTAGATTGCCTTAGTCGTTTATTTTTATCAGAAAAAAAAATAGCAGATTTGATTATGGTTAGTCCAGCGGAAATGTCGCGATGACTCAGTGGTTAGATTTTAGAGTTTGTAAGATTATTTAGGCCCTCTAGTTTGCAGAAAAGGAAAACATCGTGAACAAATCTGAACTTACAATTTCTAATCGTTTGAAAATCGCCAAATCCACCTTGAGCAAGCGTGGTGGTTAATGCTCTGAGCACCCTTTCCGCGAGAAGAGGAATTTGTTCAGCAGTGGACACTTATAGACTTTTGTTGTGTGAGTAGTGTATTCACCAGATGTGGATGCACCACTGTGTTATGTGCATCTCAAAGTATATAAACATTCCATAAAAGTTAGCAAGATGCATCATGATGTAAAAAACCAGTAAGTGTTCCCAGCGTTGAATCTACAAACCAAAATAAATAATAATTTTATCTATTGTTACCAATCTTACAAATCGAAAAGCTTTTTGGATTTCTTAAATTCGTTTACGTGTTCAGGATATAAACTATATTTTGATTTAAAATAATATGCATTGTTAAGAAGACATAGATCAAACCAGAATACTACTATCAGTTTTTAGATAAATAATTTTACGAATCTGAGCAATGCATTTTTAAGAAACTCTTTAGACAAAAACTGACGAATGAGTTTAGTGAAAATTGACCTGGATAAACGCTGTGATAACTTACGATCCGAGGAAGATGGGCAAATCCGAAGATAGACGCTAGTGATTTGGGCTCGCTGCCATCGCAGCGGTAAGTCCCCTCTTTGAGGAGTGGCTTGAGAGACGCTACGGCGTCCTCACCTACCGCCTGACGCAGGTCCTCACCGGACATGGCAGTTTCGGGAGGTACCTGTGTCTGATGGGGCGGGAGGAAACGCCCGGGTGTCATCACTGCGAGGACCGCCCTGAGGACACGGTGGAACACACGGTGGGAGAATGCCCTTCGTGGGCTGAGCACCGCCGTGTCCTCAGGGAAGTGATCGGCGATGGCGACCTCTCGCGTCCGGGCCTAGTGCAGGCCATGATGCGGAGCGAGGGGGATTGGGATGCCGTCTCCTCCTTTTGCGAAGCAGTCATGCTAGCTAAGGAGGAGGCGGGACGCGTGAGGCAGCGAAGCGCTGCCTCCTCGCAACCCAGCCATCGCGAAGGACACACCGGGCGTCGGGGATCGCGGGACGATCTCCGGCCACCGTAAGCGCGGGCCTGCGGACGGCGAGCATGGGTGGCTCCCCGTCCGACCAGAAACAGACCCGAGCGTACGGCGCGTCGCGTTCCGCGCGCGCCTCAAAGAGCCATCAGACCACCACAGATGGGGCCCAATAGGGCCGATGCCGATTCGGAGTCGCGGAGAACCTAACGGGTAACCGGGGCTCCGGCTCGACGTGCAGGAGAAGGAACGGGGTGGTTTTTAGTCAGTAAGAGTCTGACACTCCCTCCCGCCTCACCCAGGCGGGGGCAGTCATTCGATGATTTTCCCCCATTAAAAAAAAAAAAAAAAAAAAAAGACGCTAGTGATTAATATGAATTGATTTGACAGTAGCAGATTTGGCCATCGCAGCGTCTTTCTTTCTACTGAAGCGCGAATCTTGGATTGTTTGTTATATCTCCAACTGTAGTACGTACCTATCTATGACCTACTTACTCGTATGGATAACCAAGGACTTTTTAAACGTTATTAAAATGGTTAGTACTGATACTTATATTTTACAATTTTAATCGTTTTTGTTTCATTCTTATTAATGCACATCAGCCTTGAGCAGTTGATTGTAACTATTATTACACAAAAGACACATTTAATTCTTTACTTTTGTGAAAATAATACTTGTTTTTTACCATCACCTGTCGGCGTATTTCAGAAGCGTTCCGTTTATATAATATTTTGTATAATATTTTACTGAATCTATCTTAAATGTAACATAAGAACCGAAAGGTACCTATCATTTCTTATGTTACGTTTTTATCAAAGGACTTGCTTCTGGAGTGTGAATGACCTTCGAACGTGAAGTACTTCCAAATGCTGTTATGAAAATGGACCTACATTCTCGGAATTTTAAATTGATCGGAACGTGTAACACTACGTAGAGTGTCTATAAGTACTTAGACGACAATAAAAGCATCGAGAACCATTTTGCTTTTAAAAATGTTAATGTTGCAACTATAACGACATTAGCTAATGGTTCACTGGTACTTTGATGTTGCTTTGTACTGTTGAACCATTGATGAAAATTTCTCCAAAGGCATACAGAAATCGCCAAGTGAAACAGGCGATGCAACCGATACACGTCATTGTCAGCATTGCTTTTGCAGCGGTAAATCCCCTCATTGAGGAGTGGCTTAAGAGACACTACGGCGTCTTCACCTACCGCCTGACACAGGTGCTTACCGGACACGGAATCTTTGCTAGGTTCCTGTTTCGTGTCGCGACACTCCGGCCGTCTGGGATCGCGAGACGATCTCTGGCCACCGTAAGCACGGGCCTGCGGACGGCAAGCAGGAGTGACTCGCCGTCCGACCGGAACCGGACCCAAGCGTACAGCGTGTCGCTTTCCGCGCGCACCTCAGGAGCTATCAGACCACCACAAATGGGGCCCAATAGGGCTGATGCCGACACGGAGCCGCGGAGGACGAATGCTCGAAGTGCAGGAGTAGGAACGGGGTGGTTTTTAGTCAGTAAGAGTCTCCTCACCCGGGCGGGAGAAGTAATTCAATGATTTTCACCGTCAATAAAATGTTACACAGTTAATGGTGTTTATACGACGAAGATTCTTCCATAGTGCGGCTGAGGCCTAAGTATTTGTTATTAAGAATTTCTTACGAGATCTTCAACTTTTATCGAGTATTATTTGCTAAAATATACTTAAATATGTTTATAAAATAGCATAATTATTATGTTAACACACAAAATGCCTTTGCCTCTTTATATAAACTTGGCATTAAAGTCTTTTGATGGAAGTGATAGCACACAGCACTTTGTAATTCAACCCCAGAGGGCAGCAAAGGTGTTAAAGTTTGTATCAATGTGTTTCAAATCTACTTGAAACTCTGTATTAACGGGCATCTGCGTAATTAATGAGGTACGAGTTCTAGTTTCTGCAGTTCATCCGATTACAAATTAAAAGGGGTTAAATATTTGCAGGAAACCCTTTTATTCCAGTTTGACATATTAGGTACCAGACTTTTGTATGATTAATTAATCTAGTTTCATAATTCATGGATTTTTCTGATCCATTAACATGATAATGATATCTTTAAAATGGCATTGTGTGTCATTTTAGCGTATCAAAAAATGCATTTGTTTTTGTTTACTACAGACTATTTTATTATATTATACAAGCATAACATTTTACTACATAATGTTAAATATGATAAAACATCACTAAAACTAAACTTTTAAATAGACTATTATACAATATAATGTATATTTTATACTTTTATATAGAGACAAGTAGGTATTCTAAAGTAGGTAATTTAATTTTCAGGAAGCGGACATAGCCATCGCTCCACTGACTGTGACTTTAGAACGCGAAGCAGTCATTGATTTTAGCAGGCCTTTCCTGTCTTTCGATCTTAAACCTACTAAGAATACGGCGAACTCTACCGGTGCTATATTTAGCTTCCTTCAACCACTGTCCATGGAAATATGGGTAAGGAAAATTGACCGAGGATTATCTCAATATCAAGCACGTAAGACTAAAGCCAAGAATGCACTAGAGGACAAATGTGCCACGACATGTATCAGCGACATATCGCATAACTTCGCTTGACATATCTGGCGACATCGCGCTACTTATGTCCGTAGCAATAAGAAGCAAAGTCGTGCGACTTCACGAAACTTCACGAAGTTTTGTTTCTCTAGGCAGTCGCATGTCGCACAATGTGTTGCCAGACATATGGTGTCCGGCAACGACGCGCTACTTCACTCGATGTAGTTGGCGACAGGTGTCGCGCGATGTTAGTAGATATGTCGAGCAAAATCCGGCAATGTCGCGCTACTTCACCAACGTCCTTGGCGACACATGTTGCACGACATTTGTCTATTAGTGTATCCTTGGCTTAATGAAACGATGATACCAATCGACATAAATTAATTCGCTTTCAGATCTCGATCCTCTGCAGCCTTTTCGCCGTAAGCGTGGTTTTATTCATCGTTTCTCGATTCTCGCCTTATGAGTGGCGTGTTGTCTCTTTCACTGATTCTCATTCTGATCATTCGGATGTATCTACTACAAAGGTAATGAAAAAACATATTAATGATAAGTAACATTAATGTAATAGAATAAACAAACGTTTGTTGTAACTTGCACACAATATTCCAGACCACCGTGGTGAACGAATTTAGCTTTTGGAATTCTATGTGGTTCTCGCTCGGGTCCTTTATGCAGCAAGGCAGCGACATTAACCCCAGGTCAGTGCATATTTTAATATTTGATTGTCTAAAGTAAATTACTACGTATGCTGATATTTTTTAAAAACTTGTAAAAAAAAATTATGAATAATAATTAAATGAATGTTCAACACGTTTTAGAATAATTTGTTGTAATTTAGAACAAACACTAATGAAATGAATATTTTAGGTCCATATCGGGAAGAATTGTGGGCTGCGTGTGGTGGTTTTTTGCATTAATCGTAATTTCGTCATACACAGCAAACTTAGCTTCATATCTGACTCTATCTCGTATTGCGGAACCAGGTGCATCTTATACTAAACTTGCTACGTGTCCCGAGGTAACCCTATTACTGTCCTACCAACAACTATTTAAATCTTGAGAGTAAATGCAGCATTTTTATAAGAGTGAAGTGTGGAACGCAATTATTTTTAACTGTTAATATATTTATTTAACGAAAGGATGGTAAAAATCGTTCGATGTTTCAGGATACTATTGACGTACCGAAAGTTGTACCAACAACTGAATCTCCTGAAAAGGTTACGGACGAGCATGGTTGGCTTGCCTTCATTATGGATCGCCCAACTGCGGCACCTGATGATAAACCATGCGAAATGGTAGTTACTTTGACACATTCAGGATACAAGGACTTTGCTGTTGGTATCCCTAAGGGATCCCAGCTGCGGTAAGCATTTTAATATTTATTTAACTTATGCGACACTTACTCCAGTGCGAAACGTGCTCGCGATGTTTGTATAGCGAATGATTTGCGAATTATTCCTTCTTGAGTTCTTCAAAGCGCTTAAGAGTGTTTTCATTTGAGAGTATTTTATAGAGACGGCGTAAATATGGCATTGCAATCCCTGAAAGAGGAAGGTGAGATTTCGAGGCTGGTACGCAAATGGTTTACCAAATCTGAGTGCGACCATTCGGACAATGTAAGTTAACTGTATTTATTCACATTTCGTTGCCTTATTTTTTGTTTTTAGAAATACAATATCTTATATTCTATATTTATATGGGTATGTACGAAATGTACAGTATAAATGTATTTTTTTAAGTATTTTAAAGTAGATAGTAAGTAGACGGTAGGTTTTCTCTGTACTAACTGTCAAATATATTTTCAGGACAAGGGATCCGAGCTGACTCTGAGCCAAGTGGCTGGGTTGTTCTACGTTTTGGTTGGAGGTCTGTCTCTAGCTATGGGTGTTGCCTTAATTGAGTTTTGCCGACATGGTCGCTCAGAGGCTGCTCGTGCCAATGTACCGCTACGCGACGCTCTACGTGCTAAGGCTCACCTGGGCAACACTGAACGTAAGGGACAATCACAACGTGCTGCAAACCGTGATAATGAACGTCTTGGATGGAACGGAGGAGCTTTCGGAAGCGTAAGTATTTATTAGGTTTCTTTTGTATTTGTCAGTTTTCTAAGGGCTCGTGTACACAACACAAACTGTTAATTCGATGGAGACGCATATCGTGTACATGAGCCGGTATGTCTAAACCACAAAATTTGCAACCATGTTTCATACATGACTGACCTGTAAATTCTCCCTTTAGCAGTACTACAGCCCGGCCAACCAGATCGGCCAGGAGGAGACGGCGCTACATTCCAGCTTCACACAAGTCTGATCCGCAGCCCGGGAGGCGACGACTATTCGTCGGCCATCCCACTCCCGGAAGATGTCAAGTTCGGTCGAGCTCTACCAATTGTAAACAACCTGGCTATCTCTCTGACAACCTATTACCTGCATTGACTACGGACCTAATGGCTTTTGCCCCTGTACTGCAATGGATTCGAATAATACTAAACCAATTGGCTTTCACTGAACTGACCACCACCGATTTAATGAAATGATTGGAAAACCCTCGATAGGGTATGATTATGTAAATAAATTTAGATAAATCTTCTAAAGTATATTAACTACTTTAACATATATATTTTCTCTACGTTTTGAAGTATAAGCTGAATGAACGACACTAATCTATATTTTCATTTTCATTTCATTCTTAATATTAGGAAAAAGACTTGTAAGGAAGGAAAACGTTGGATCTCTTTTTATGTATGTTTTATTAGATTGTAACGTGTCGTATGTTTAAGTGAATTTTACGCCATCGTTGTTCACTGAACTAAGGCCGCAACGCGATATGTGTGATTCCTTAGGGAGAATTTAAAGTAATTTAAACGAAATTTTTATCTAACTAACGCATACACAGAAATATTACCCCTCCCCCACCCCAATATATATAACGTAAAATTTTACTTAAACATCATTAATAATTATGAATTATTACTATGTTGGCAATTTAGTTGTTTAAAAAAGCCTGGCGTATTTTACAAAGTAGATGAATATCAGGGTCTTATAATTACGTGTTTAGTAAGTAAAACTTTTTTAATTAGGTGACATAATTTAAAATCCTGTAATTCTAAAAGTTATACCAGGTAGTTAGATAAAGATAAACGTTAATTATGGCTAAGTTACCGCTGTGATGACGCAACGCCGGCGGTATTCCAGTTGTTGAAATTAACGACAACGTTTGACTGCAGAGCGTACTAAATATTCGCAAGTTACGACGATACGTTTTTAATTGTCATGCGACTAGTACACACGATGCTGTTAAACAACGGATTGTTACTATCCCAACCTGTTATTTCTGTACACAAAATCTCACACTGGCAAACATGTCCGTGTAATTTAAAATTATCGATCGTCAGTAAAACACTTATTTTACTAAAAGGATAAACAGATGGGTAAAAAGAGAAGACGGACTGATAAAACTATCTTTATAATTCTATTGACTAAACCATAAAATCCTTTAGGGCAGGTCAATTTTACTTGCATAGGTATAACGATATGCCAGGGATGAACAACGTTTACAGATATTGCTAACTATACTGGGGCATATATATCGTTGACTGTTAATTGTGTGCATCTCTGGGAGTCTCGCATTATTGATGTATAACAAGCATTAGCAGTTAGATATTTAGCAGTTACAGTGATCACATGAAGACGTTTGCATATATAATGATCCGATTACACGGTAACCGCTTTCGTGTCATTTGTGTTCGGTATGTTTTGTGCAATACATACATAATTATGTACGACTGCGACTTATTCATTACAAATATAATCCAATTTTCAAGTGTTTACTGTAACTTTATATTTTAGAATTATCCTATAAGCACATGTAACCATAGATTTAAAATCAATAATAAATAAATAAAACGTGTATCAGAACTTCGAAATAAAATGTAGTTTCAAAATTGACGTCTATATCACATACAGTTTTTATTAAGATTTACCTTAATTATAATCCATTTAATAAAAAGTAGGCTAATTTACTGTGTCTTAATGTATAATTGAGTAGATGAAAGCACATCAAAATCTGATTCCTACATATAAATCAGTTATTTTATCTATTTTATTTATAACTTTATTAAATATAAATGAATTACTTCTCGACTCCATAAATTATTACTTACTTAACAACCAATTGATCAGTTAACTATTGACTTCATTTTATATCTATTTATATATTAATATATATTTTATAGTAAATGTTGTTACCTATAAATTAAGATGAATAAATTACTAATGCCAAAGGCACTATAAAATCATATCAAAATTATAAGTGACAATCAAACTATTAGGAAACCATGATTATAACTCTTGGTTTGTTTTTATAATGAAACTTAAGCAAAATATTATTTGCTATGTAGCTTGTTAAATTAATTACGCTTCCGTCCTAAAGCTATTTTGATAATTTAGAAGTACCGTTTAGCTGATAACTAAGCTTGGGCTCGAATTATTTTTTAATTTATCTTTTGGCACCTGCCAAATTCTAGTTTTTATATTTTGTGCCAAAAGTATCAGCAGTGGAAGGGGATTGGATTTAAAGGGAAAAAAATAAAATTGATTCTAATACTATAAAACAATTTATATAAAATCTGCGGTGAAATCCGTCCGTCTGGTGAAAGGCTGAACTTTAATACGGAAGCGATGTACGGCGCGTAAATTAAATTCGATATTATTGACAGAAATCCATTATACTCGGCCACCAATATTAATTTAGCATGTTAACTGTACTGAGCCAGTCAGACGTCACTTAAATTAATTTGCAATTAACTAAATTACAACAACATTTGCAACCACTTTTTTGTATATACAAAATAGCCATTTTTTACATAATTGCATCTTTATACATATACTATTCCTAATATTTATATTAAAGAATTCTTCAAATGACTGATTTACATAATCGTTTCACGGACGTAGTCTAGATTTAAGGGCGTATTTCAATAATATTATTATATTAATCATTAATTATAAATGTAATCGATTATCTAATTAATTGTATATCTGCGAGGAATCAAACAGATACTAGTAATGTTAAAGACTAACCGCCGGTTACACATGCTCTTGATACCACTTACTATCACAAAAACTAACTATTGAAATACACGAATTAACAAAATAAGTATATGCTAGTTATAATCAGAAACAGAAACTTATTCGAGAGGGGTGAAACTGGCGCTAGAGGGAGACCATACCTCACAACACCTTGTTGCGATGACGCATAGAAAAAAAATGCATTGTACGACGACAATGCATCGGAAGTTTTTGGGTTGCGTCATCGCAACGCGGTGTTGTGTCCTGACGTTAAGATTTTTGTAATCTGTAGTGTGATGTCATGATTGGATAATTATGTAAACCTACAGTTTGGCTATGTGTCTATAGCTACTTGCCTAAATCCCATCAGTATACCGATGTTACGATAACAGTTAAATCACCTACAACTGTACTCTATACGACACAGCATAGGTAGCCTTTTAATACCTAAGCATGAATTTAGTTATCTATTACCACATGTTTACACAACATTGTCGTAACACTACTACTTGTATGTGATGAATATCTATGTATATGTTTGTTATAATAAACCATAATAAAGTAATCGAAAAAATACAATATTCGTGTTTCATTTCAATGTCCCGAATTAGGTACCCCAGTAACACATACTTAGCTAACCATATTTTTTGACAAAGAAAACTGCCTAGAACTACTATACTACCTCTATACCACGCGGACGAAGACGTGGACAGAAGCTAATAAAATATATTCAAAATATTTTAATGAGATGGTCCAATTTATTTATACTCTTTCATTAAATTGACTTTGTCACAAGTCGATTTTTAGATTTTAAAACAATGTATTAAAATCTAAAAAATGTAATTACACGCAATACGCATATCTAATTATTGTATCATCGTGAAACTAGGTAGACTGTAGACCATACAATATGATGGTATACAATATGCATGGTATAGTCAGCATTGAAACATGATGACCACATTGAGATTTTGTGATAGAACTAAGGACTGCCTGCTAGTAAATGTATTGAATTTGCGTTCATTAGAAATGGACTTACATTTAGCCAAACCTGATGGAAAGCAATCCTAGCATCTCAACAGACCTAATCACATCGCCATTACAAGCTTAGCGAGTGAGTTAAATTTGGCTATAGCGGGCAAGCCCAATATGAGGGCAGAGATAGTTGACAGATTGCATATAGAAGAAGATCGAAAAAGAAGAGCCCCCGAGCAGGAGACCACGTGCCGGATAAATATCTACTACCCAAACCTCACAAAACACTTTACGCACATCGCAATCGCCTTAGAATCTTCATTCTAGCAATATCGATCATTATTTTGCGTTTCTTAGCACCTTTAGGCCGTGCGCTGCGTTAGGCGTGCGCACAGCGCGGGCGCCCGCGTGGCGTGCTGTTTCATGTAATCCCCTAAACCAGCGATGCATGCAGCGGGTTGCCCGTCGCACGCTGATCGAGAAAGAAAATAATGAATCGTCGAGCTGGTATAAGTTCTTCATCTTGGATCCTACAACTTTTACGCCATATTACCATATTAACTACTGCTCCAAATGGCTACTTCTAACGATAAATACCAACTTATAAAAAAACCATAAAATGTATAAACCGTAATGATCTCCTTTATTCATCATGAAAAAAAAAGATTTTCCCACAAAACTAAAGAAAAATAGAAATATATATTTTATGACATGAGTAGAACAATAGTGGTATTTTTGTTAAATATTAATTAAATTATAAGTAAATATTGATTAATAACAATAGTAATACTTGGGACGGAGTCTACTTTGAATATTTTCGTATTGTTTTGTTCATAACGGTATCTTAATTTGCCTGCCCTGTCCAAAGTACAAGTTCAACGATCCAAGTTACATAAGGTTTTTGGTACCTAGGACGATTTTCTTTTTCATAGCACCTGTTATTGTTAACTTTTAAAAAGTATACATAATATTATTAATTATATTTATAATCACCTACCATTCTGACCGACCATCCGAGAAGCTACGCGACCTACGACCAACAGTTTCTGTTAGATACGAATTTGAAATCTATGTGCATTTAAGTTATATCGTTGATGCTACCCGACGACGCCCACTATCGTTTGCCACTCGACGAAGCATTACAAGCTGATAATATAATTGCTTTAGACTCCAATATAGGTAACTAAAATTTAATTCATATAATGTATCGCACCCGTTATTAACCGCTTTATAGCTAAAGGATTAACTACTTGCAACTGGAGGCTA